GATGGTTACTGGGAGGTTTTAGGCCAGAGCTGATACCAGTTTTGAGGAAATAAAAAATGATAATATCAATACATCAGCTGGTTTCTTTTTGTTATAAATATATACTGTATATACAATCGTCCTCAAATGTATTCATACCCTCCGATTAAAGACGGAAAAAACATCTGTCACTGAAACAAGTTGAAATTGACAAAAGAAATAATAAATAAAAAATGTAATGAAAATCACGACATCGCTTTTGAATTGTGGTTCAACAGAAATATTGGAGAAAAACAAAATTGTTTTTGTTCATTTTTTTTGTTGTTGTTGTTTTTTAAAATATTCTATTCAACCACAATTCAAAAGCAATGACTTATTTCACTACGTTATAATTTAGGAAACTTTAATTTATTATTAGTTTCTATTGTTTGAGTGACTATTGTGAATTTTGTCTTTTCTTTAACAGTTTTCATCAGTTTTTTTTTTATGTAGGAAGGCCAGTTATTGTGAGAACATACAGGTTTGCTGCTTAATTAAAACATTAAAATGTGGACATTTCCATCCTCTTCTACCCAGTTCGACTCTCACTACTACAGGAATTATGAATTTCTCATAAACCACCTCAGAGCACTGAGTGTCGACCAAAACTCTCATTGAGTCCCATTATATTGAAGCTCCAACGTTTCATGTGAAAATCAGAAACGGTCAATAAATCTATATAATACAAAGTACAGTGTTTTTATGGTAAAACTTCCTCAATTAGTTTAAAAGTTCAAGGAAAAAACATTTTTTGTCATTTTTGTGATCAAGCATTTCACATCAAATTATTCTACAAACACATGTTGGTTTGTTTTATTGTGACCTGCAGCTACATATGGATCAGATAATATCACTACCTGACTTTTGTATTCTTATTATTTTGTTAATGTGTGCTCAAAGACGGGACTTTCCATGGCAGTGTTTGCACATGACCTCAGAAGGGAGAATTGTAATTGTAATTTGAAAAAAAATAAAAACATATCTGAAGAGGACACCACGGTGATCAATGTTCTGATTGAAAACCTCTCTCTAAAGCATAGCAGGGTCTTCACAAACAGAAACGTTATAACTCTAGGAGCATTACAGCAAAACGGGAAAAAGAATTAAACATCAAACTAACAGACGGTTTGGTGTTCTGTGGTGGAAACATAACATTCCTCAACAGGTTTATAGAAATGGAGAGATTTTAGCAGAAAACCTTTTGTTTTGTTTTTTTTTGCACCCGATATAAAAACTAAAAAACTCCAACTACAACAACAATGTTGGAGACAGTGTGGACCGTGGATCATAATCACTCCCACATGTTTTAGACACGTGGAACAGTTCTGGTATTTTGGGATAATNAATGAAGTTGGTCTGAATGCAGCAACACCACAGAAGACGCAGAGTGAGCAGCACATTAGCAAAGCACCGGCAGCTCTGGAGCTCCAACGGTGCCCAGATGCCAATAATCAATCACTGTAGTTAAGTATTTAAAATGTAGAAAAAGTAAAGTGTAAGAAATATGCTTCAGGTCACATTTATGGGCCTATAGCAGAAATGAGTTAGTGGAGGAGGCCCGTGTAGACGGCTGGATTGATTAAAACTGGAGCCTATCTGTGTCATTTCACATGCATGAGATGGTGAAGTAGAGGCAGTGCATACATGGCAACTTACTCACATTCCCATCAGGTTTTTTTTTTTTTAAGTCTGTGCAGTAGTGTTGAGTATGTGTGCACTAGAGCTTGTTTATTAGCATCCAAGCTATTTCTCTGTTATTTACTTTTATTTTCAGTGCTCTCCTTGTTTCTTCATTATTCGCTCCTCTTCCGGCTACTCTCTTCCTTTATATTCAGGAGCTTCTCTTTCTGCCGGAGTAGAGCCAATATTGGCTAATTTTCAGGATCTCCTGCAGCCTCACTGTCTGAAGTGGCCATTAAGGTTAAGGCTGATAGCATAATAATCTGCAAGATACCCCTTTTTTTTTTTCTAAACTCCTCTCTCAGATATTTCCTGTCTTTGACTTCTCCTCCTTCTTCTGTTGTTGTTTTGTTTCTGCCGTCACATTTGCTCCCACCTTCGTCTCTTCTGTGTAAGAAAAAAGCTGCAGACAATTACTCCCTGAAAGGGTTCAAACTCATGTCAAACACAAGTCCTCCCACTCTCACTCAGACCCCCTCATCCCCTCCTCCTCTCCTCTCACAGGGGTCAAACATAACGCCGGCGCTATCAAAGACGACTCAGACCGGGCCGCCAACATGTCAGGTCGAGTTTTCCCTTTCTTGCTTTTCGAGTCCGTCTTCTCCTCCTCTTCTTCTTCCTCCGCCGCTCTTGTCTTCTTCTGTGTTATCCTTATCATAATGGAGGGGGGATTAAATAATGTATTAAGCTCAGCTATATTGCAGTTGTCCAAGGGATGTCAGAGTGGCTGGAGCGTGGCCCCGACGGATGAATGTTTTAAAAGGGTAAAGGATCTCTAAAATCCCAGAGACGTCCCGCCAGTTTTTTTGGGGGGGCGTCGAGGAGTCCGAAGGGCAGGAGACAATTAAACCTGAGAGGTAGTGAAGCAGATGAGACGCCGGGTGATGGTTTGTGGGAAGGCAGACGGGAGGGAAGAGACAGACTGTTTGGAAGGCAGAAGAAGAGACAGATTGACAGGCAGACTCAACAGGTTTCCTCTGCACCTGGCGCCGCTGCAAAATGCATTTCATATCCAGAGGTGGCTTAGCTGGATTATATTCACTCCAGGGATTAAAACATGTCTCAGCTACAAACACCGCAGTCTCTCACCAAACACAGGTGTCACTTCGTATTAGGTCCTGATGTGTAATTCATGTTTTTTTCTCCAGATTGACAGGAAGCATCTCGTGCTGTTTGAATATGTTTTCCATGCATTTTTCATTTCATATCACTGTGTCACCTGTTGGTTTTGCCTTTTAATCTTCAGAGAAGTTTATTTCCAATTAATTTCTAAGCACAGGCAAGGAAAGGAACACATTTGCGATGCTGGTTACACTATAAGCGTTGGGGTTGTCTTTTTAAAAATCATCAAAATTACACAATTTATCAGTAAAAAATGTCGAATTTTCAACTTTTTAACAGTCTTTGAAGTGCTCATTAATTCCATCATCATCAAATCTAAGCTCAAAATGGAAGCATGGAAACAAATTTAACCTATAAGTGGTCAAATATCTACAGCAGGGGTGTCAAACTCTGGCCCGCGGGCCAAATTTGGCCCGCTTTGTAATTATATTTGGCCCGCGAGACAATACCAAATGACTACTACAGCTGCCCCCGGTATTGTACTGTACAGCGCATTCACTGCTAATACTACAAATCCCATAATGCCCTGTTGTTGTTTTGGCACGTCAATCAGGACAGGACCCAGAAACTCCCTCTCCTCTGTGACAGTAGGCATAGCGACTTCACACTACAACTGTCACTGTGCCATTGATGTGTTTTATTATTTATAATTTGATTTTGCATGTCTGCACTATTAAGTTATATATAATGTATGGTAATAAGCGTTGCTTGTTCCACATTCAATGTTAAAGCAAAATTTGTTTCGGTCCATATTAAAAGGTTCATTTGCTCAATGTTGGCCCACTGTGTTTTTGAGATTGACACCCCTGATCTACAGCATGTAGAGGCATCACTTCTTCCAATATTAGTAGCACTTAGAAAATGTTGTAGCTGTTGATTCCAGTTAGTTTTTTAGTTGCTGTGAAATGGCTGATTAATTACAATTTGTTGTTTCTCTGTACTTCAAGTCATGATTGTACAGTTTCCATAGAGGTGCAGAACTCAATATTAGCTGGAAAAATGAGCCCACAGTGGACAAAAACGTGACAATGGCAGAAAAAAAAAAACAAATTAAACTTTTCTCCCATTATTCTTAGAGGTAGTTTAGCTAATGTGGTGACCAAAACTCCATCCAACCATCCATCCATCCATTATCTATACACCGCTTAATCCTCACGAGGGTCGTGGGGAGCTGGAGTCTATCCCAGACTTAGGGCGAAGGCAGGAGACACCCTGGACAGGTCACCAGTCTAATGACCAAAACTCTCTCCGCAATAATAACATTTTTTTTCTTTTTTTCATGCTTCAGGCCCTAAATAAAATTTGCATTCTGACTAAACAACAAGTCTTCGCTCATGACCCGCGTCATCTGTCAAACATGCTGGTGGTTGTGTTATGGCTTGGGTATGTATGGCTGCACCTGGAATGGGCACGCTGGCATTGATTGATGATTTCACTGCTGACAGAAGGCAACAGGATGAAAGCACAGCCGTACTTTGGGATTCTGTGCACTTGGATGCATCAAAACCGGGTAATGTTTTATCATTCAGGAGGACATCGATCTTAAGCACACAGCCGAAGCAGCCGAAGAAGCTTTGGCGGGGTGAGGAGGTGGAATATCCTCGACCGGCGAAAGTCAAACTCTGGATCTGGGTGAGATTGAGCTTCAGTCTACTTTCAGCAAAGACTAAAGTCGGAGGAATCCCTAAACAAGGAGGAGCTGAAGGTGGCGGCAGTGAAGGCCTGGGAGAGGATGAGTGGAGAAAATACTAGAGCCCGATGGTTACTGGGAGGTTTTAGGCCAGAGCTGATACCAG